TTTAACCTAGGTACTCTTTTGTCGTGACGTAAATGGGCTTTGAGCCTAGGAAAACGCTTTGCTTTGTTTAAGATTTATGATGCGCCATTGAAAAGAAAATAATTGTTAAGCGATGTGTGTTGACTCAAGGAAATAAATATTTTCAGTGAAGAAATGGCACAGAAGCTGCAGGAGGAAGAGAACCGCCTGGCTGCAGAAGCAGAAGCAGAGGCAGGAGCTACACGTTACCAGCCGCACCCCTCCTCAGACACGGCAGGTGCCACAAACCCCTCCGCAAGTTCAAGAGGAGAAGAGAAAAAAAGATGTAAGTTTGTATTTATGAAAGATGTGGCCAAAAATTCTAAAATTTGTATGTGTATATATATATATATATATATATTGAAGCTACTTAATCCTCCTCATTCCCTCCTCCTCCTCCTCCTCCTCCCCATTTCATCTTCCTCCTCCCCTATTTCCTCCCTATTTCCTCATCTCCTCCTTTCCTCTTCCTCCTCCCCTCTTCTCTCTCCTCCTCCTCTTCCCCCATTTGCTCTTCCTCCTCCTCCTCTTCCCCCATTTGCTCTTCCTCTCCTCCTCTTCCCCTTTCTCTTCCTCCTCCTCCTCTATTTCCTCTTCTTCCTCTTCCCATTTCCTCTTCCCCATTCCTCATTCATTATCTCTCCTCCTTTCCTCCTCCATTACCTCCTTGCTCTCCCCATTTCCTCCTCTCCATTTTTCCTCTCTCCATTCACTCCCTCCCTCCCTCCCTCCCTCCTTCCTTCCCCTTCCTTTCCCTCCTCCCTCCTTCCTTCCCACCCTTCCTTTCCCTCCTCCTCCTTCCTCTCTCCTTCCCTCCTCTCCCTCTCCCACCCTTCCTCTTACTCCTCCTCCTCTCTTCCTCATCCTCTTTCCTTTTCTCCTCTTTCTCATCCATTTCCTCTTTCTCTTCCCACATTTCCTCCTCCCCCCTTTTCCTCCTCCTTCCCCATTTCCTCCTTCTCACCCATTTCCTTTCCTCCTCCATTTCCACTTTCTTTTCTTCCATTTGCTCTCCTCCCTCTCTCCTCTTTTGTCCTACCCCCTCCCTCCCTCCTCCCCTCCCTCTTAACTGAAACTCTTTATCCCCCACTCTCCTTCTCCCTCACATGCTCTCCCTTTCATATAAATCAATAATGATTGTTGTTTTTTTCATTTTCAGTGTACCATCCTCTGAAATATTTTGAAGCTTTCATTCTTTGGAACTTGTATTCATAGCTCTTTGAGTGTCTTGTACTGAAGGACCCATCCCATTCTTATACCTGGATGCTGCAAGTTCCTGGAGTATAAAGATGCAATTTTTCAAGAATTCATTTTGGACAGTTCACCCTTACAACCTACCAAGGCATATGTTTCAAGGTCAATAGTTGAAGAAAAACTCCTATCTTTCTATAAATAATGCTATGTGTTGATCTTGTCAGATGAAGAAAGAATGAAAGAGTATTACCATTATAGAAAGCTTACAAAGTGATATTCTCAACAGTTAATATTTGTATACTGTTACTGTACAGGATGCATTGTCTGTAATGGACTATTTTAAAATGTAGATGGACAATGTTAGAAAGCTAAAAGACAAAGATTAAGATTTATCAAGTCAAACGCAGATCACTTGAACCTGATGGTAGCGGTGTTGCCACTAAGATCTAGTGACATTTCGATACACCCTACATCTTCCACTGTGATATTACATTGCAAAGGGAAAAGAATTACCATGCATCAAGAGTTATATTTGTTACATCAGCATAGCTTTTTAAGTTTGTCAAGACGTTGATCAATTTCATTCATAGTCGTAAAGTGGTTGGTTTTGCTTGAAGATACAGGAACAATCTCTATTATGGTTTCTTAAATTTGCTGTTACATAACTTATTGATGCATGAGATTCCCCTGGATTTATAATAGAGCCTCAGTTATATAAGAATTATAAATTAGAAATATAGGCACAAAGCTTGTATATGTATATATACGGTACTTGGAACTGTGCAAACATTATGTATGTATGACCAGTACTAAATTCTTAAATTATATGAAGTTATTTGAAATTATTGGTAATTCTTTATTCAGAAATGTTTAAATGCAAGTTGAAATTGATAGGCCTGAAGTTTATGGTGCACACATGGAAGTCTGTATATTCCTAAGGATTTGAAAAAACTCTTTTTGATGTTAAAATGATTAGAACTGACTTTTGAAATTAAGGTAAAAGTTACCCACTTGTAAATATGAATATCTCAAAATTATTTAATGTTTTACTTCAAACATTTTTTTTAATTATTTGCACCCTTCTAAGCAGGAAGAATATACAGCTATGGATGAAAATGTTACAAGATTCACCATAATAGATAGCATAATGTATTTAATCTTGATACAATTTGAATTTGGCTTGTTAGCAGCAAAATATGGAGTAGTTAAGAAAGCAATGATGCCTTCATTTTAAATTGGCATTCAATATTGTGAATTCCATTGAGTGGAAAGTTAAAAGTTTAATTATTTTCAATGTTTGATTATATGTATGTGTATGTATACATGTGTGCATGCTAGTGTGTGTGCAAGAGAGTGCATGTCCATATTTCTGACTAGTATTATAAGAATGAAATAAAAGTATTGGGACTTATATTTGTACTTTACAATTTTATTTATGAAGCATCATCAAAATTTTTGAACACATGCATAAATTATTACTTAACATATTAGTAACTTTGCAGAACTATGAGGAACATAAATGGCACAGATATATTGCAAAGTAGATTATAATTTAGGGATGCCTCAGGAAATGAAATAGAATTTTAGACCAGTACATGAATTGGTCGAATTTTTCACCTTCTGCTTAGATATGTATCAGAGAACATCAGCTTTGGGAAGCTTAGTAGCAGTCCACTGTCAGTTCTAAGGTGGGAGCTGTTGGCAAGGGTGCAGTGTAGCTTGGTGACTTAATCACAGACCGGTACAGCTTTACATTTTATGAAATGAGGCCTTCCGTGTAACAGAGGTGTTCTCCGACCAATTGCCCTACGATACATTTAATGAATATTTTGTTGATTTAGTTTCGTCTATTACATAAACATTGATATGTTTGTATTAATACACAAGTCATGAGAGGTCATTAATGTAAAAATATCAATGCTTATGCTATAGATGAAAACTTAAACTAATAATATATTTAATAAACACAGCAGTTGGCCTGAGAATGCTTTTGGATGCGTGCACCCTCAAATGATTATCTTAGCCCATAATGCAGGAAATATGCTTTGTCTTTAGGATGTATGGAATTGTTCTCATAAGCTGACTGGTATAATTTGCTGTGGGTTTGACATGTATGCCTTTGAATGAGAAATCCAGTCTGTTTTTTTTATGGCATTAAGTATTTACATGTTATATTCAACTTGTGCATTATTTAACAATATGGAAAACACAGTAATTTCAGTGCTGTCTCTCTATTGGCCACTATGACTTAATATTTCCCTTATAAAACCATATCTGCATGCAAAATTATTGATTCACAAAGAGATGATAGCTGTACATCCAAAACATGTTCTCAGGTGTAGCTGGAAACTTGGGAAAATATGGTTGCAGTATAATAGTTCAAGATTATATTTTGTTGACTTGTTGCAAAATCATCCAGAACTCCTTGCCCAACCATATTACCTTAATTAGGGTACTTTGTTTTGTCTTTGAATATTTTATAAGGAAGAAATTGATTTGCATTTTATCTTCTAATATTATATCTTGTCTCTTCAAAGTCATATGATCTGTTTGTCAGTCTTTGAATGATGTGCAGAGCTAGGTAATAGAGGTAGTGTGACTAATAGTTGAGATTTGTTATTATGTTCTACTGTTGAAAAAAAAATCAAGAAAATAAGAAATAAGACTACTATGGAATACTGATTTGAAGATCCTGCCTAAATGGGAGTAATTTTTTTTCATTAGTACACCTTACAGAAAACCACATTGTTGTAGACTATTCCTAAACTGTGTATCCTGGATCATGGAGGAACCTTGCTATCTCCACCACAGCTAAACTCCATGGAGACCTTACAGGATTCTTGGATAATCATTACCGCTTCACTGTCGATAACTAGATGTGAAGCTAATCGATTGCTCATTTGTATAATGGGACTATTTTTTTTAATCTTTATATGAACAAATGAAGTTATTTTGAAATTTACTTAAGGCACTCTAGTATTTGCATTGAGTATTGAGAGACAAAATTAGGAGAGACTCATACATACAGTCTCTGTCTTAGTCACTATATAATATGATGCCTCTGAAAGACTATGTAGATGTAATTTTTGTATGCATTTTTTATGTGAATACTACAAGAATTTTTGATATGGAGATTGGATCTATGTTAGAGTATAAGTGATTGCTCATTGTGCTGTACATATATTTATTTTTCATATATTACACCAAGCCTTGTAGTGTTGGGCATATATTTGTCAAATTCCTATAGATCACCAATACATACTGATACTGCAGCATGCAAAGAAAAAAATAACGATACATTATCAATTTAGAATTGAGGAAGAATTATTCTCTATAGACCAGAAGTTTGAAGGGAATGCTATCAGATCCTTCGATGGGGAATGAATAAACTTGAAGTGTTACATGTAGTTATTTTTTGCAAAACAGTTTTTCTGAAGTACTTGTTGCAGTTACAGTAAGAAGGTGATTGTGCTTTGTATTGTTAAAGATTTGTTTGTAAGTGGAACACAAATATTTAAAGTCATTCTTGCTATGAAGACCAACACTACACATTTACTTCTGATTCACACATCGTTATTGCAATACAAGATGTCTGGCTGTTAGATTTTTAGATTTGTTTGTTATAATATGCATAGCTTAAATTGTAAAGGTGAAGGCCTCTGTTTTACATGATAGTTATGGTTTTAGTGTAATCTTTGCACCAATATTGTATTCAGTGTTGAAAGCACAATACTGAGATGCTGGTGTTTTTCTTTTCTTTTTAATTTCAAGAAAAGGCAGGGAAAATACTGAAATACACAGTTGTTGGATGAAGAAACATTTATAAAGTTTAAATTTAGGCAGACATTTTGTAATATTGTTCTGATCAGTAATCAGTGTTCTCATTACTGTAACTCAAAAGAACAGTAAATAAAAGTAATGGATGTTTAAAAATCTGAAAGCGTAGTTTGACTCTGATTCTGAAGAAGTACTTTTTCTTTCACTGGATTGCTAAGTATATGAGACTGGTTTTGTATAGTGTTACGTACATGAAGTGGATGCCCAAAAAATGTTTCCAGTATTTCCATCTCGTAAGGTTAGGTTACACTCGAAGCAAAAAGCAAACATTAGCTTATTAGGTAGAAACCAACAATGGTAAGATGATGAAACACAAGAAAAGTTTCATAGGAATGTTCTAGTGGAGATCATTACTACTGACGTTGATTTAGCTCATCCATTACTATTAAAGTTACTCATTAATTTTCAGCCTCAATAAAACTTGATATATGTATGGAAAAAACAACACAAGGCATCTGACTCTGAACATATACAGTAAATAAAAAGTACATGTGTTGGTAATTAACACTGTTCTTTGACTGGATAGTAAATATTTGTAAATTAAGAAAGTGGTTTTGAAAATAATTTTCTCTTTCTTTTTCTAATGGGTATCAAAAAGTCTTATCTAATATCAAATTTGTAATTTCAAAATTTGTTTTAAAGTTTATTTATATATATCAGTGGATACAGAAATAAGTGTCCTCAGACTGCTTTATCTGGTAAGAAGTAACATATAAATGACAAAATGATGATAGACTATACTCTGAAAGAGTTCATTTTGAGTAGTTGGACGTGAAACTTTCCCGGATATAAACAAAAGTATAAAAAAAAAAATTATTTTATTAATCATATGGGTTTCGTACTTAACATTTCTCTATTTCCTTTTGGTGTGTCCTAACATCTGGGTGATTTAATAAGACAGCAACTCATAATGGATTTTATAACCACCAAACACTCTTATGAGGCGTGTTCAAAAAAGAAACTTAATATAAGAAGCATTTTTTTACGTTTTATAACTTTATCAAAATCAGAATTATCTCATTCAAAATTCTCTTGATATGCCCTTCACCTTTGCTGTCACATATTCTTAGCTCACTGAATATTATCTAAACTATTATTTCATTATCTTTTTTCTAGGTACACTCCACTTTAACAAGGTTTAAAAATCTGTTACATACACAATAGATGGGTCTGTTCTTAAGACTGGACCATGCAATAATGTGAACAAAAACGAAGATAAAAACATCAACAAGCCCAGTGAGTTTTCAAAGTACTTGTTAATTTAGTTCATTTGCCTGTTTGAATAGCATTATATGTAACACCTTCAACAACCACTAATGGAAATTGAATTTGAGAATTAAACGAAATGGATGTCACACTGTTTATTTGAAACCCTAAAGCTAGACGATAGGTGGTTAAAGTGGCTTCCTCATCTGCAGCAAAGGTCATAAACTTACAACTGCTGTTACATGGAATATGAATTCGGGCATAGTATGCAAACATGATGCATGGGTGGATGAAGCACAAACAATTACAATATTTAATATATGTGCATTATATATATAATATATATATATATATATATATTATAAATTAATATATATATATATAATTATATATATATATATAAAAATAGTGATATTGCTTAAAGTAATGATAACGGCCATTATAAATAACAACATTTATTATCCGTAACAATACCGATATCATTAAGAACAATAATTCTCTTGATTCAAAATGGAATGCACAATACAGATATAAAGTAACCCTTTTCATCTCAAATAATGGCGAAGCTAAACATTGAGGGCTTATGGAGATAGACCCTGAGGGACCCTATAATGTATATATATATATATATATATTAGAGAGAGAGAGAGAGAGAGAGATAGAGAGAGATGGATGATAGACAAATAGATAGATATAGATATGTATATATTGTGACACAACAAAGCGTTCTTTTTCTTATTTGAATTTAGACTTTTCTCAGTTTGGACATAAACCAAATATAGCTCGCACCTTCCTGATTAATACTATTATACTCTATATTGTTTTACAAAAGAATCTCCACGTAAAGGGTATGGAATTACTTGTGTCATGCATATGTGATTTTATTTATTCATTTGGAGTCTTCCTCCGTCAGTGGCCAGGGTGTGGTAACCCCCCCAGCTCCGCTATTGTTCTCAGATCTCCAAAGTTAGTTCTGTTCTCTTTAAAAAAAAAACCGTTGAGAAATCACGTGATCGCGCGAGAAAGGCAAAACGCATTCGAGGATCAGACTGTTGTTTTCTTTCTGACATGGTATGTAAATCAGATTTTCTAGAAGATGCTTGAGCTTTTGCCATCCAAATTTACGATTTTGAGATTAATCTTCGCTTATAAAGCCGGATGTGAAACACGAACCCCAAAAGATTTTTGTTTATGGCAAAAATCAGCGAAAATGGGCTAGTTAGCTACGCGACTTAAGCTTCCATGTTGATTTTGATCCAGTCAAGGTAGTGCGAGACCTGCGTGTAGACGGCGGGGTAGGCGTCGCAGCCGGAGCCCCAGGACACGATGCCCTGCTGGACGCCGTCGCAGAAGAGGGGTCCGCCAGAGTCGCCCTGGAGCAAGAGAGAGAAAAGCGGGTGATGTGCAGCACGCGGAAATTAGGACACGTTGAGTAAATAGGACACGTGGAGTTAAATAAGACACGTGGAGTTAAATAGGACACGTGGAGGACACGTGGAGTAAATAGGACACGTGGAGTTAAATAGGACACGTGGAGTTAAATAGGACACGTGGAGTTAATAGGACACGTGGAGTTAAATAGGACACGTGGAGTTAAATAGGACACGTGGAGTAAATAGGACACGTGGAGGGACACGTGGAGTTAAATAGGACACGTGGAGTAAATAGGACACGTGGAGTTAAATAGTGGAGTTAAATAGGACAGTGGAGTTAAATAGGACACGTGGAGTAAATAGACACGTGGAGTTACACGTGAGTAAATAGGACACGTGGAGTAAATAGGACACGTGGAGTTAAATAGGACACGCACGTGGATTAAATAGGACACCACGTACACGTGGCACGTGGAGTAAATAGGACACGTGGAGTTAAAATAGGACACGTGGAAACACGCACGTGGGACACGCACATGGAGTAAAAGACACGTGGAGGACACGTGGACGTGGAGTTAAATAGGACACGTGCGACACGTGGAGTAAATAGGACACATGGAGTAAAATAAGACACGTGGAGTAAAAAGAACACGTGGAGCATGGCGATTATAACACACATTGCACACTACGATCCAAGGGCACCCACGTTGCACACTCCTTGGCCGCCGAGGAAGCCAGCGCAAATCATGTCGATCATGACGGAGTCCTCCCCGTAGATGTCCCTGCACTCCTCGTCCGTCAGGTAAGGGAGGTCCACGTAGCGCAGGTCGCTGCTCACGTCTCCGCCTTCCTGCAGGGGGAGAAGCGGGCGTGTTACCTGTACTCCTGTCAAGAGGGGAATACTTACACCTGCTAAACGTATTATTGATTCAGTGATTCAGTGTATTTATGGGAAGTCAGGGGGCGTTTGGAATAAAAAAAGAAAAAGAAAAAAGAAAATCAAACCAAAAAGAAAAGAAAAGAAAAGAAAAAGAAAAAAAAGATAATTCAGAAAACATTTTTCTTTTATTTTATAATATAAGTGAGAATGAGGGTGAAGGTGGAAGAGAAAGAGGACAGTTTAAAAGGAATATAGAGAGGAGGGGAGAGAGATATACAGTGAAAAAAGGGGGGAGGGGAAGAAAAAGTGAAAGAGAAAAAATGAGAGCTCCAAATAAACAGAAATAAGGGGAAATAAAACCACATAGAGATAGCTAGAAGATGACAATTCTAAACTGAAAATCAAGAAAGCTAAGAAAGATGTAGAAGGGAAGAGATTGTCGGTATAAGCTAATTCAGTTCAGTTCAGTGAGATTCGTGAGTTCAGTTCAGTGAGATTTGTGAGTTCAATTCAGTGAGATTTGTGAGTTCATAACAGTGAGATTCGTGAGTTCAGTTCAGTGAGATTCGTGAGTTCATAACAGTGAGATTCGTGAGTTCAGTTCAGTGAGTTCGTGAGTTCATAACGTGAGATTCGTGAGTTCAGTTCAGTGAGATTCGTGAGAGTTCAGTGAGATTCGTGAGTTCAGTTCAGTGAGAAGTTGAGTTCAATGAGATTTGTGAGTTCAGTTCAATGAGATTTTGAATTCAGTTCAGTGAGATTTTTGAATTCAGTTCAGTGAGATTTGTGAGTTCAGTTCAGTGAGATTTGTGAGTTCAGTTCAGTGAGATTTGTGAGTTCAGTTCAACGAGATTTACGAATTCAGTTCAGTGAGATTTGTGAGTTCAGTTCAACGAGATTTACGAATTCAGTGAGATGTGAGTCCAGTTCAGTGAGATATGTGAGTCCAATTCAACGAAATTTACGAATTCATTTCAGTGAGATTTCTGAATTCAATCCAACTCACTGAAACCCTGAACAACGTACCACCGTGTAGCCCCATCCGACGGCCGTGCAAATAGTCCCATTCGAAGGTTCCTGGTAGTCCGAGGGCAGAGCGACCGTGGAGACCAAATCGTGGACGAAGACGAAGTTATGGGACGTCTGCGGGACAAAAGAGGAGAAAGTGAAATTAAATGTGATAAGAATGAAAAAAAGATAAAACATGAATAGGCTATTAAAAATCGGAAAAACTGAAATTAAATGTAATAGAGAAATGAAAAAACATGAATAGGCTATTAAATGTAATAATAAAGATCGAAAAAAGATGAGGAACTGAAATTAAATGTAATAATAAAAATCGTAAAAAGGAGAAACTAAAATTAAATGTAATAAGAAAATCGAAAATTTATTCAAGTAATAATAAAAATCGAAAAAAAGATGAGAAACTGAAATAAATGTAATAATAAAAATCGAAAAAATGAGAAATTAAAATCAAATGTAATAATAAAAATCGTAAAAAAGAGAAACTGAAATTAAATGTAATAAGAAAAAATCGAAAAAAACATGAATATGCAATTAAATGTAATAATAAAAATCGAAAAGAGAGTGAATAGGCTAATTAAATGTAGTAATTAATAATCGAAAAAAGAGAAAGAAATTAAATGTAATAAGAAAAATCGAAAAAAACATGAATAGGCTATCAAATCTAATAATGAAATCGAAAAAGGAGAAACTAAAATTGTAATAAGAAAGTCGAAAAAACATGAATAGGCTATTAAATGTAATAATAAAAATCGAAAAAAGGAGAAACTAAAATTAAATGTAATAAGAAAATCGAAAATTTATTCAATGTAATAATAAAAATCGAAAAAAGATGAGAAACTAAAATTGAAATGTAATAAGAAAAATCGAAAAAGAGAAACTGAAATTAAATGTAATAAGAAAAAAAAAGGAGAAACTGAAATAAATGTAATAATAAAAATCGAAAAAGGAGAAACTGAAATTAAATGTAATAATAAAAATCGAAAAAAACGTGAATAGGCTATTAAATGTAATAATAAAAATCGAAAAAAAGATGAGGAACTAAAATTAAATGTAATAAGAAAAATCGAAAAACGTGAATATGCAATTAAATGTAATAATAAAAATCGAAAAAAAACATGAATAGGCTATTAAATGTAATAATAAAAATCGAAAAAAGAGAGACTAAAATTAAATGTAATAAGAAAAATTGAAAAAAAAACGTGAATTGGCTATTAAATGTAATAATAAAAATCGAAAAAAGATCAACTGAAATAAAATGTAATAAGAAAAATCGAAAAAAGATGAGAAACTGAAATTGAATGTAATAAAAAAAAATCGAAAAAAACATGAATATGAATTAAATGTAATAAGAAAAATGAAAAAAACATGAATAGGCAATTAAATGTAATAAGAAAACAACATGAATAGGATAAAAAGATAAAAAAATCAGAAGCTATATGAAACATTCTCTAATTTCCAATTTGCAATAATAATAAAAAAAATCAGAAAATATTAGCAAAACAAAATAAGCATTCAGAAAATACATCAAAAAAGCATTTTCCATTCTTATAGCCCAGAAATATGTATAAAAAACATTTTCCATTCTTATAGCTATCAGAAAATATAAATAAAAAAGCATTTTCCATTCTCATAGCCCAGAAATATGTATAAAAAAGCAGTTTCTATTCTTATAGCCCAGAATATGTATAAAAAAACATTTTCTATTCTCATAGCTATCAGAAAATATAAATAAAAAAAAAAGCATTTTCTATTCTTATAGCCCAGAAATATGTATAAAAAAACAGTTTCTATTCTCATAGGCCAGAAATATGTATAAAAAAGCAGTTTTCCGTTCTCATAGTTCCCCCACCCTCCCACCCTCCCACCCTCCCACCCACCCACCCCCTCCCCCCTAGCTTACAAAAAAGCATTTCCCATTCCTCATAGCTTCTTCCACCACCCCCTCCCCCGCCATTTTCTATTCTTAAAGAAATATGCCTATTTAATCAGAAAAAAACATTTTCATTCATAGCACTAAAAAGCATTTTCTATTTCCCCTTTCCATTCCCCACCTCCCCCATTCCAAAAGCATTTTCTATTCTTCATAGCCCACTTTCCATTCTCATAGCTTTCCCACCCCACCCTCCACACCACCCCTCCCCGCGCTTACAAAAAGCATTTCCCATTCTCATAGCTTCCCACACCTTCCCACCCCCACCCCGCCTACTTCCAAAAAAGCATTTTCCATTTCCTTCCCCTCCCCACCCATCCCCACCCACCCACCCACCCACCCTCCCCCGCCTAGCTTACAAAAAAGCATTTCCCATTCTCATACTTCCCCCCCCCACCCCACCTCCACCCACCCACCCACCACCCCTCCCCTAGCTTACAAAAAAAGCATTTCCATTCTCATAGCTTCCCCCCCCCACCCACCCCTCCCGCCTAGCTTACAAAAAAAAGCATTTCCCATTCTCATAGCTTCCCCCCACCCCACACCTTCCCACCCACCCACCCCCCACCCTCCCCGCCTAGCTTACAAAAAAAAACATTTTCCATTTCATAGCTTCCCCCTACCCTACCCATCTTCCCCCCATCCACCCTTCCCCGCCTAGCTTCACCCCTCCCCCGCCTAGCTTACAAAAAAAGCATTTCCCATTCTCATAGCTTCCCCCTTCCCCCACCCCTCCCACCCACCCACCCTCCCCGCCTAGCTTACAAAAAAAGCATTTTTCCATTCTCATAGCTTCCCCACCTCCCACCCCTCCACCACCCCCCCCGCCTAGCTTACAAAAAAAAACATTTCCCATTCTATAGCTTCCGACCACCTTCCCACCCACTCCCCCGCCTAGCTTCTCCCCGCCTAACTTACAAAAAAAAGCATTTCCTTCTCATACCTTCCCTCCCACCCCCCACCACCTTCCCCCCTCCCACCCACCCCCTCCCCGCCTTCTAGCTTCTCCTCCGCCCCGGCCACAGACCCTGATAATAGCGATGTCATTGACTCCCGTGGTCGTTGAGAAGTCGTGCATGAAGACCTTCTGGCTCCGCTTCGTCTCCTCCAAACCGGAAGTGTGGTCGAGGTTTTGCTCTCCGGCCACGATGTCGAAGGAGGAGTCGGAGTATCTGAAGGAGAGGAAGGGAGGGAGGGAGTGATAAAGTGATAAAGAAGGGAGGGAGGGAGGGGGTGATAAAGAAGGGAGGGAGGGGGTGATAAAGAAGGAGGGAGGGAGGGGTGAGAAGGAGGGAGGGAGGGGTGATAAGAAGGGAGGGAGGAGGGGTGATAAAGAGGGAGGGGGGAGGGGGTGATAAGAAGGAAGGGAGGGAGGGGTGATAAAGAAGGAAGGGAGAGGAGGGATAAAGAAGGGAGGGAGGGGGTGATAAAGAAGGAAGGGAGGGAGGGTGATAAGAAGGAAGGGAGGGAAGGGGTGATAAAGAGGAAGGGAAGGGAAGGATATAAAGACAGTGGATAAGAGGGATGGATAGAAGGGAAAAGAAGAGGGAGAGAGGGTGAAGGAAGGAAGGTGATAAAGAAGGAAGGAAGGAAGGGGGTGAGAAAGAAAGGGTGACAAGAGGGATTGGGTAGAAGGAACAAGAAGGGGGAAAAGAGGGTGGGAGGAATAAGAATAAGAGAAAAAAAGGGAAAAAAGAAGTGTTACACGAAAATAAACGGAACAAATATATGCCAGCTCACCCACTTACTTTCCAAGCAAAGAATCTAGGAAAAAGAGAGAGAGAGAGAGAGAGAGAGAGAGAGAGAGAGAGAGAGAGAGAGAGAGAGAGAGAGAGAGAGAGAGAGAGAGAGAGAGAGAGAGAGAGAGAGAGAAGAGAGAGAGAGAGAGAGAGAGAGAGAAAGAGACAGAGAGAGAGAGAGAGAGAGCGAGAGCGAGAGACAGAGAGAGACAGATAAAGAAAGAAAGAAAGCAAGAGAGAGAAAGAAAGAGACAGACAGAGCGAGAGAATACCAGCGAAACCATACACCACACACACACACCAAAATCCTCAACAGAAACCGAGACATATTCACCCCTTGACGCAATGGGCAGCTGTCAGGACGTGGTTATCGTTAATAATGGTCCCGCCACACGTATGAGAGCTTCCGAAAAGACTGCGATGCTGAATGGATACCTGCGCGAGAAATGAGATACCTTGGGATGAGGAGAAGCTGAGGGAATGAGAATGAGAATAAGGTGAATGAATGGTGAATGAGAATAAGATTACCTGGGCAATTAAGAAAAGAATGAGAATAAGGTGAATGATTGGTGAATGAGAATAAGATTACCTGGGCAATTAAAAAAAGAATGAGAATAAGGTGAATGAATGGTGAATGAGAATAAGATTACCTGGGCAATTAAAAAAAGAATGAGAATAAGGTGAATGATTGGTGAATGAGAATAAGATTACCTGGGCAATTAAGAAAAGAATAAGAATAAGGTGAATGAATGGTGAATGAGAATAAGATTACCTGGGCAATTAAAAAAAGAATGAGAATAAGGTGAATGAGAATAAGATTACCTGGGCAATCAAAAATGAGAATAAGGTGAATGAGAATAAGATTACCTGGGCAATTAAAAAAAAGAATGAGAATAAGGTGAATGAGAATAAGATATTTGGGCAATTAAGAAAAGAATGAGGTGAATGAATAATGAGAATAAGATTACTGGGCAAAAAAAGAATGAGAATAAGGTGAATGAGAATAAGATTACCTGGGCAAAAAAGAATGAGATAAGGTGAATGGAATAAGGGGCCTGAATGAGAATAAGAGGGCAATTAAAAAAAAAAGAATAAGGTGAATGAGAATAAGATTACCTGGGCAATTAAAAAAAGAATGAGAATAAGGTGAATGAATGGTGAATGAGAATAAGAAAGGAAGAAAGAAAAAAAAAAACACTACGCAGTCAGGAAAAAGTAAATTTAATGAAGGAGAATTGAGTTGCTGATGAAATACGGTGATATCATCTTGGTAATATGAGAGGCCACCTGGCGGGAGAAAGTTCGAGGAAATGATAATAGAGATTAAGTGAAAATGGCAATATTGCTATTATTGACATTATGATTATTATTACTATTACCGTTATTATTAACAATATTATTATGATTACAATTATTATTATTGTTATTATTATCATTATTATCTTTGGTATTATTATTATTATTATCATTGGTATTATTATTATTATTATCATTATTACTACTACTACTACTATCATTATCATTGCTGTTATTATCATTATCATCATAATTACTGTTATCTTTATGATTATTACTATTGGTCTTATAGTCATTGTTATTATCATCATATCATCATCATCATTGTTATTATTATTATCATCATTATTAGTAGTCTTATCATTATTCTTATTACTATCATTATAATCATGAATATTATTATTATTATGGTGGTGATGCTGATGATCAAATCATATTGTTATGGTTATCCTTACTACCATTATTATTATTATCATTGTTAGCAATATTATTATCAATATT